TTAGAGGGCAAATATGCTAGTTTTAAGAACATCAAATTTCCAAGGGGAAACTATCAGACCGATAGTTCCGAGACATTCAGTTCACCACTAAATTTTCTTTTTATATTTAGTGAATTATTTTCAACTTGTTTTAGAATTAAGAAAGCCGTGAAAAGCTAAATGTAAAATTTGAAAACAGACAAAAACCCACTTATTGCAATTTCAATTGGTAATTTTCTCTAAGCCAGCTTGTTTACAGAAAAATTTTCACGGACAAGTACTATCCATCCGGGTATTTTCCTCGGACGGGCACTATGGGCTGCTAGTGTCTCTCCGCGGATGAACACTATCACGTCACGTGATCAATTTAAACCAATAAGAATCGGAGAGAATTTAGCGGTGAACTATGGCGCGTGATAGTTGACGCCGAGGTAGCCCGAGTTGACTATCACGCCTAGAAACCGATAGCGAATAAATTAATTGTTTTAGTATAAATCTACTAGTCATTCAGAATTTATTTAAACCCCTTTCACAGAAACTTCGAGAACGCAAAGAAGCGGCCACCATTTTGTTCTCAACCGAACACTGCGAAGGTACTCGCTATCTACAATATGCAGAATGGATAGTAAGTAGGACACGTGTCAATAAGAGAACGGCATTCGTGATAGAATGCTTGTATATTTATACTAATAACGATTATCGGCAAAGTTCAAATACATTAAATCACTCTTTTGTGTAATTTTAGCACTCCCTTATGAACTATTTTACTTGCGCATGCTTTCCGAGCCATTAACCAGGTCACCAGAAAGTCAACAGAACCTTTAATGTCTGAAAATACTGCGATCTCAATTGTTATCGATACCTTTACATAAACACGCTTGCAGGTAGGCACGCAAGACTGCTAACAATCGATGAAGCCAGTGATCGCAAATATAACGGGTAGCAAAAAATGATTCACGCAGTAAACCGTAATATGGCAATTTGGCTGCTGTCAATATTTCTCCAGTATAGTAGATAGCGACAAATTTACCTTATAATATACTATCAACGAAAAAGTTGTGTGTCATAGATTGCATATGGCCAAGGTGAAGATTTATAGAGTTGACTGGTAACTTGACAGGCACTCTGTCTTCATGGGATTCTAATTTTTCTAAGTTCCCTGAAATCGTTGACACAGAATATAAGCCTTACAGGATCTGAACGAGCACCAATCAATGAGGCTTGGCCGAATCAAAGAGAAATAACTGACACAGCTTTTATTGAGATCGTATGCAATCTTCAGAATATAGGCCACGTTTGATATATCCATAATCTAACATGGCTCCGAGGCTTTCAGGACAAACTTCTATATTTGGTGGTGTTCTCTTTGTATCCAAGTCTCTTGTGAATTGAGAGATAAAAGAAACTTTAAAAAAAAAATGCAGTTTTGTTGTCAAAGCCTTGGAACCACGTTAAAATATTGATATATTGCACATGGCCTATTTCGTTTTTTACGGTAACTGCAGAAATTCTCGCGCGCTCATTGGCTAATTTTTATTGTCAATAAGTGGACAGACACATGAATTTATAATTTATGCGATGCGTCAACGAGCGAGGGCGGACAATTTGACAATTTGCTATCGTAAAAAACAAACTGACGTCAGTTTTAATGCGTCTGTCCTGTTATTGACAATGAATTTCGTCATAACCTTGTCAAAGGTTGTGTGCGGATCCACAGCTACTTTGACAATGTTGTGACGAAATTCATGATCAATAACAGGACAGACGCATTAAAAACTGACGTCAATTTGTTAAATTGTTTAGGTCACTGTAATGTTTTCTTTTTGGCAAAGCTTGTAACTCGTAATCGATTAAAGAAGATGCCTTGTAACAAACAATCAAAGATAGGTGGGTTATGGCGGCACTTTGTAAATGGTAGAAAAGTTGGTAACGATTATTAAAAGTAAAACAAATAAAGTAAAACTAACTCCTTAGAAAGATATGTTAGAAAAGTGAAGATAGGAAGATTAGATCCCAGCAATTTCTTTAGACTTTCTTTGTTACCGAAATAAACCCAGTAAAATGCAGCGCATGCCCATGTTAGACCGGGCAGCAAAAACTACATTGAGTTCTGTGGTTCGAACGAGCTCCAAGGACCGTCTTATTTAATTTTTGCCCAACTTTGAACGCCTGTATTGATAAATTCTAGGCCACTCAGCTACTACCATTTTTTTATTGTTTTCAATTATGTTCTTTTTTATTGCATCTATATGATTCCGTGTTCTTTCTTATCTTTTTCTTTCCTTTCTACTTTTTTAATGTAATCTTTTAAATTTCACTTGGTAAATCCCATTTTTAATTATTTACTGTCACCAGTCTTCCAACACCATATATTTTGGTTAGATAATATGTAGCTGATGTATTTCGATGATGTTAGATGTTGTTTACATATTCATCTCGAGCTTTCCCTGCACATTTATTTTGACTCTCCATCATTTTACTCTCTACATTCCTACAGCCAATTTGATTTCCCTTATTCTTTACATTGCCCATTACTATGAATGTAGCCATTGAACGGAGCTGCTTAATGCACTT